AAAATGCCACACACACAGCAGCAAGCGCATTCTGTGCGTTCCGTTATTGTGGTGTTAAATCCACATCAAATCAGGAGAAAGAAACAGGCAAGACCTTGTGTTTGTGGGCAACCACGTGGGTAGAAAAGCGACCATGTCTCCCTTTACTTTTCAGAACCAACGAAGGCAAGGAAGGAAGACAGCACAGCAAGCAGGCAGCACAGCGAGCAGCAAACACTCACACACCGACACCAACACACACACACACACACACACACACACACACACACACACACACACACACACGAATATGGACGAGCCCACAGACTTTGAGGATCCTGAACGCTACAAAGTTGGCGATGAGACATATGCACGAGACCTGGAAGCGTTGGTAAGCAATAAGAAACACCAGGCACGCATGAGAAGTCACGTGGTGTTGTCGTCGTTGCTTTTGTTGCTGTTGTTTGCTGTTGTTTGTTGTTGCTGCTGTCTCTCACACGTGCACACACACACACACACACACACACACAAATGCACACACAAATGCACACACGCACATGCACACACACGCACACATAAAATACACACATGCACACACACAAATGCACACACACATGCACGATTGGTACTCACCGTTTGCATGCTACCTGCGGCTGGACAGAAAATCCTGCGTGGCAAGGAGGATCCGCAATCGGCAACCTTTGTCATCGCAAACGAGGACCACACACTCGGCAACAGCCTTCGCTGGATTCTCAACAGAGAGTGCGTTATTAGCATTTAAATTGTGTTTGACTCCATGTGTAGATGGCGGTGTGTTTGGGGTCCTTGAGGCTGAGCGCAGCCTCAGTGAGATCGTTGCTTGCTCATGTTCACGTGCGCATGCGGTTGTTCATTTGCATTCCTACTGCTTGTGCACTTTCCCAAAGCACAAGCGTTTCCATATCCACACCTGTACACGCACACCATGCTTGCACTCATCAACACCGACTCACATTCATCCACGCGCTTTCTGCCACGCTGGTTCCATCTTGGTGACAGCCCTCGCGTCGACTTTTGCGGCTATTCACAACCCCATCCCTCAGACAAGCTGATCAAGCTGCGTGTGCAGCCCAAGCCGGTTGAAGAAGGTATCACCTGCACGCCTGTTGTTGCTCGATGCAAGAGCTGACACAACAGTGGAAGGAGGAAGGGAGAGGGTTTCCATCATCACAGATCCCTTTTTGACCAACGCACGCACACATGAACTCGTTCGTACCCCACCCCCACATGCAAGCACAAGCGCGTACCTGTTTCCCTCACACACACACACACACACACACACACACACACACACACACACACACACACACACACACACACACACACACACACACACACACACACACACGCACGCACGCACGCACGCACGCACGCACGCACACACAATCAACTAGGGGAGGAGCCTGTGGATGCAACGGAGGTGCTGCGTGACGCTCTCAAGAACCTGATGCAGATGTGCGACCACATGTCAGAGACGATGCAGACACAGGCACGGCTGTACCGGCAGCAGCAAGGGCTGAGCATCCCCGCATATGAAGCGCCAGAGGAGGAGGACATGGATGAGGAGGACGACGACGAGAGCGAGGTGGCTGAGGATGATGAGGAGGAGCAACAATAGCTGAACAACCCCCCCCCCACATACACACACACAATGAATGCAAGCACACACACACACAGTCTCTCTCTCTCTCTCATAGGGATGGAGCGTCTGGGCTGCTGGCTTACACCTAGGAACACACACACTCACTCACACCGCCATCTCACTCGCTGGCAAACGTCATCAGGATGCACGCCTGGGAAGTTTGATGTTGTGGTTGTAAACGACGACCTGGACCGCGCATACGACACGCTCAGGACGGCGCTGCTTCCCAAGGTGAAGGAGGTGCGAGAACTGCAAGGCAGCCAGCAATAGGCCAGCCAACGCACCACCGAGCCAATGAGCAACAATATTGACGGAGAATGACAACAACAACATCAACGACGACGTCGTCAGTCGTGCCTTCTCCATGATGAAACACGTCATCATCCCGGATAACAGAACTTCCAACAACACACTCACACACACACACACTCTCTCTCTCTCTCTCTCTCTCTCTCTCTCTCTCTCTCTCTCTCTCTCTCTCTCTCTCTCTCTCTCTCTCTCTCTCTCTCTCTCTCTCTCTCTCTCTCTCTCTCTCTCTCTCTCTCTCTCTCTCACTCACACACACACACACACACACACACACACACTGTGACACACACACCTGCTCTGTCTTTCATATGAGCGTGTCACTCGCGCTGTCTGTTAATTTGAGGCAGCCTGCCAACCCGTCACTCGCCCTTTGCCTCTTGCCACTTGTCTCCAATATAAGGTAACCGCATCACTGAGACAGAGCCGACACACATGAGCTGCAAGACGCTCGCCTGCCCGCTTGGAACGAACAAGCGAAGAGCCGGCAGCACAGAAGTCGAGAGAACACAGAACAGAAGAAGCAGCAAGCGA